GCCATCCCCCCTGGCGGGGGGGCGTTGATTTCTCATTTTCTGTCTCTCTGTTTCTCTCTGTCTTTCTAGTGAGCGCACGTGCCCTATAGCAAAAACTTCTCCAATAAATAGCAAGTTGTCTGTAGAAGCTGTTTATATTTTGAGGAGTCCAATAATAATAGCTGACTCCGAATGTTTTATGATGTATTACGCTCAGTACTTTAAGTGCATACAGTTTTATCTTCAAACAACCCACTGGAGGAGTAATAATTGTTTTTATTTATTTATTGTTATAAGGTGTGTGTGCTCTCCAGAGAGACAGAATGAGAAATCATACCCCACCCCTGGGGGGTGATTCCTGGGGTTGGGGTTGGCCACATCACAATCTCTTCTCCTCTGATCTGGTATTTTGGGAACACACACACACATGCCCAGCATGATTTTCAAGCCGCCAAATCCAGGACTAGAATAGTGAAGATGGCCATGGCCATGTGGTATCCAGCACCTTAACCTGCATACTACCTGCTGGCCCAGAGAAACCATTATTTTGGCTGTGCAGAGAAACAAGCCTAGAAAAGGTAAGTAACTTGTTCAAGTTACTCATAATTGGCGAAAGACACAGCCAGGATTCCAACCCAGGAGCTGACTCGAAGGTCTACACAGTTCACCCCTTGGCTGTGCTGGCTGGCAAGCAGGAAGTTCTGTGGTTGCTTGTTGAGTGGATGAACATTTGTCATAGAAGAAAGCAGTAGGTGAGAATCACGAGCCCTAAGGGCAAGGCGGGCCAGCCTACTCTAAGGCCCTGGGTGTGCCCTCAGGTGAGATCGCCTGGTGTGGGAGTGGGAGAAGTGAAAGCTAGGCTCCTGTGAGCAGGCCTTGCTCCTGCTCAGGCTTATCTCCCTTTGAGACTCGGAGTCTAGCTTGGCATCTCAGGTCCCTTTCTGCTATGGCCTTGTCTTGGACTTCCTAGCTTATTTGGTTGGTTAGGTCCCTCTCAGATGATTACTCCAGTAAGCTGAGGGTCTGGATCAGCCTTCCCAGCAGGGATAGCAAGGGACGAGGCCTGCTGGGACAGGCCAAGTTCAGAAAGAGTAACTGTTCCAAGTTGGAGTCCTAAATAAAGGCCTGGAGGCAGATGTGAGCCTGGGATTCCAGGCCTGTCTGCATCTGAGGGTGGGTGCTGGGGGTAGGGGTTAGGCGTTGCCTAAAGATGAGGAGGAGTGTGGGAAGTCGGTGGTCCTTCAGGGTCAGATGCGTGTCGGAGATGCCATCCATGCCAGCTGCTGAGGGCTCCCTGTGCCAGGCTGGCATGTGGTCTGGGAGGTGCCATGTGCCAGTTGTGTGTGCGAGGCTTGCGGTCACATGTGCTGGGGGCTGCACGTGAGTGTGTCAGTGTCTCCTCCCCATCACGAGCATCGGGGGTGGTGGTGAGTCATGGGCTCAGCCTTCAGCGCCAACTGTCATGTTCCTTCCCCCTAAGTTTCACCCCCCACCCAGCCGCGCGCGCCACCCACCCCCACTGGAGATCTGTGTCACTTCTCTTCCATCCCCCTGCCCTGCTCAGGTCTCCCTGAGAGGTTGCACAGCACTCCGCTCCTGGCTCTGCCCTGCAGCTGCTGCCCCGTGGTCTCGGCCCCCTCCTCTGCCTCCCTGCTCTGGAGACTAGAGCGTGAGGGCCCCTTGTCCTCACCCACTCATCGCCATGAGCCCCAAGGATTTCTCTAAGCATTATAAAAAATTCCCATTCTTACCTCCATGGGAGCTATTTCTGTTTTGGGGGGCTTCTCCCATGGACCAAGTGCTGCTTTCTCAATGGGCCTCTTGGGTCCATGAGCCACATTCTGATCTCCGTGGGTCTCCTGGTGTGCTGGCCTCCCCTCGCTCCTGTGACCCCCTCTGCACCCCTTGGCCCTCTCCTGCCCCGTGGGGTGCTTCCTCATTTCCATTTCTGTGGATCAGTCCCCACATTAAGGAGTGCTTTCTGTTTGTGTGGGCTTCTGCCTTGTGTCTCTGGCCTCTCCCCACCTTTAGGGGGGCTCTCTGTCCATGAACTGTCCTTCTGCTGGCCTCTGGCTGCTCCCCCGTCTCCATGGGCCTTTCTTATCCCTAGGCTTTTATCCTGTCCTTGTCCTTGTGTGGCTGGTGGGCCTCGGCCCACCTCCCTGGGTCGTGATGGCTGTCTTTCTTTTCTCTACATTTGTCTTCATCTCCATGGTCCTCTCCTCCCATCTCCCTGGCCTTCTCCCCAGGTCTCCCCACCTCTCAGCTCGAGGGCTCCAGTGCCCAGGGCTGCCTGGCAGGGCGGTGGCATGGGGGTGGTGAAGGGGGGTGGCCTGGGGGTGGGCCCTCCATCCAATGCAGCTCCTTCCTCTCATCAGCATTCTCCTCGCAGGGCCCCCCAGCCCCGACCAATACGGGCTCCCCCTCCCCCGACTCCTCTCAGCCTCCCTCCCTTCCTCCTGCCCGCCCTCCTCCCAGCCAACCTCCCTCCTTCCATCTCCCTCCGCCCCCCGCGCTCCA